TGCCTTTTGGAAAAGCACCTTAGGACACTAAGTCCACTATTGAAAATTGCCCAAGTACACCATTAATGCTTATAATATGCTGCCTGGTTTAATACATGAGAATGTGACATTGCCCTCAACTTGGTAGGAAGCGGACTTAGCTTGTGGAAGCTCCTTCCTCAAGCTTATCTAGAAACTCGTCCTTTTTATCACAATGCTTGAAATTGGAAACAAAGAAAACAGCTTTGGGGAGAGGGGAAAAAGCATAGAAGTTAACGCAATGCCAGAAAGCTTTTCTCGTCTTGTGACAACAAAATACCACAGGGATGAACGAAGGAGTTGGTGTTTTGCGTTTGGGGCTGGGCCCTGGTTAAACATTTACCATACAAGCCCCAGATTTTGTTTCTCGTCTCCATAAATAATGCCGAAGGAGCAAAGAGCCCAATTCAATGAGTAGGGAGCCAGGAGTTTTCCAAGGACTTCCAGACTCCCGTAGTAATGTGAAAGAATCCTTTTCTATATTCGATGCTATAGTCTTGCCTATAAATCAGGCTGTGTTAATTGCAGATTTTTTTAAAAAAATCTTTTCTTAGAAGTCTAGCATGTGGCCATATAGCAGTGAAGGGAAAGGTTTCTCTCTGTGTGTGCCTGGAGACCTTTTCCCCTCTGCTGGGTGGGGGTCTTCTTGCAGATACAAAAGGCCCCTTTTTTATTTGCTTTGTCGGGCAGATCCCACCACTTTTATTTTATTTCTGTGGGTCAAAAGGGGGAGCAAGAGGTGTGGGGGTGGGGTGGTGGTAGGAGAGGGCAGCCTGAATGTTACAGTATACAACATTTTCTGAGTTCCCTCAGGAAGCCACCATATTCCCTGCAAGAAAGCGGTGCAGCTTCTTTCTTGAGCTGTGAAATATAATGCAATTTTAGCTCCATGCATTAACACAATTTTACAATAATGCATTATAAAATGCTTCTTTCTTGGCTTGGCAGTTATTTGACAGTGTCCTGCTTTGCATCTTTGAATCTGAGTTGAATCCAGGGCTGCTAGATTCCTTTGGATTATGAAATCACAGAATTTCAAAAAGTTGCCGCATTCTTTTTTTTTTTTTTACCCTTTACCCATTTTTATTTATTCTTTATTTTTTATGGATTCTGAAGAATTCAGTGGCTGGGCTCTCTACTGTCTGATGAACAAATTGAGAAGCACTGTGTATATTTAGATTGACTCATCTCCCTAAACTCTTTTGCTTCCAATCTCTAAATTTCAGAACTAGATTTTCAGTGAGTACAAAACTGTAGCAGAAGTTGTAAAGCTGAAAACAGTTGGAATATACAAACACACACACACACACACACACACACACACACACACACACACACACACACNGATAGGACAGGATAGGACAGGACAGAATACAATATGTGGGAGGAGGGAGGGGAGGAGAGGAGCAGGGAAGGGGTGGGAGAGGAGACGGTAAGGTGAGGTGAGAACCTTTATTGTCACTTTTTTTCTATACACACACACACAAACACACACACAATACACAGAGAAGGAGCTGCAGTGGAATAATTATAGGATGGACTCTGACCGATAACTATGGTTGAATAAGATAATTCAGACAGCAATACAGGGGTGTCAAACTCAAGGCCCAGGGAGTTGAATCTGGCCTGCGGGGTGCTTAGATCTGGCCCACGAGGCTGCCCTGGAAACAGTGAAGGACTGGCCCGCAGTGTCTCTGCCAGTGAAAATGGAGCTCGGGAGGGCCGCCTGTGGCCCTCCCAAACTCCATTTTTACTGGCAGAGAATTGCAGGAGGCCTTTGCAGCCAAAAATGAGGTCAGGATCTGTTTTCTATGGCAGAGCGCTCAGGCCACCACTAGTGCCCCCCAACATGAGTGAAGTCAAGCTGGCCACACCCACCCTGGCTGGGCCCACTCTGGCCCCCTGAGGTCAAACACACCCCTGATGTGGCCCTCAAGGAAAATGAGTTTGACACCTCTGTAGCAATGGCTTCTCAGTTGCAGGCAATCCTAGAGACTTCGGAGTAGACTATTAGAGTGAAACAGATCCAGCTTGATTCTGATCTTTGTTTGCAAGTCCCCAGAAGCATTTGCCTTTTTGTTTCTTTTTGACCATTTACCGACATAGGCAGGCTGTGCATTGTACTATGTCATGATGTGGCTTAGTTGTGGTTTTTTTATGATGAGTAAACGCATTCTCTACGACTTAATACAGTTTGTCCATGTGGCATTTCCAATGAAGACAGCAAATCACGAGCACCAAGTACCCCATACAATAAACCATGGTTAAAAATAATGGCTGAGTGTGGTATGTGAACCCCCATCCAGGGGTGGGATTCAAAATTTTTAGCAAGGGGTTCTCTGCCCAGTTTCTGGGTGGGTGTAGCCCTGATGGCCGTGGCCTAGTCGGTCTCTTGCAACATGGCAGGGGGCGTTTTTGCCCTCCCCGGGCTCCGGTGGCTTTCCTGGAGTCTCCGGGAGGGTGAAAACAGCCTCCCCAGGTTCTGGAGGCCCCCAAACGTCTGATAGCCCATTTTTCACCCTCCCCAAGCATCAACACACACCCTGCACTTACCTGCATCCGAAATGGGCTGGGTAGGGACTCCTGGGAGGGGCAGGTAGGGTTGGTGGGGCCAGCCAGGAATGGGATTTGGGGGTTCTCCGAACTGCACAGAATCTTAGCTAGAAGTTCTCCCAAACCCCTGTGAATCCTCAGCAACCCAACCACCCCTGCAATAATTGCTAAACTCTGAGCTTCTGAGGGAAAGCACGGACACAGAAGTAATGCAACAACCTTTATTTAACTTTAACTATGACGAACTAACAACTCTCCCCGCCTGACAGCTCTTTATACCCGAGCTGTATAAGAAGCCTCCAATGCTCCCGCTAGCCGGCAGATGCACCAGGGCCAATAGCCTCGCGCCTTGTTTGATTGACACCCGTGGTCGGAGGCACAAGGACTTGGCAACAGTCATAGTATTTCAAATGAAGAATAATATACCTTCCCCACTCTACTTTCCCACACAATCTAAGAATTTTGTGGTAAGCCAGAGCTGAGCTATATTTATTTAGTAATATAATACTAAAGAGATATTCATGATCATTCTACCAGGAAGGTACATATAGAAAAACATAGAGCAGCCTATGAAAAGGTCTCCCTGCCAAGATGGTCATGTGAATTGACCACACACCTGTTTCTTTCATAATACTGTTTATAAATACATTGGCCATCTTACTCTGTTATGCAATTGTAGGTCAAATTGAAATGGGTGCTTTTAATAATTGGATACCATAGCTCAGCCTGCCTATAATTTGCACAACAAGGTTTCAAAATAGTTCCTTAATGTTGACTCATTAGTGTTTATTAAATAACATGCTACAGCAGTGACAGCTTCCCTAGGAGCCAGTTCACGTTAGTTGCACAAATGTGCAAATGATTATGCTCTTATGGTTGGGATTATAGAGTCCTTGACTTACATTTGACATTTGTTTAGTGACCGTTGGATGATAACACTTATTACTACTCCCTGCGCTTATGACTGTCGCAGCATCCTCACAGTCTTGTAATTAAAATCTGGGTGCTTGGCAATTGGCATGTATTTATGACAGTTGCAGGAGCCTGGGGTCACTATTTGAGACCTCCCTAGCAGAGTCCCAACAAGCAAGGTCAATGGGAGAAGTCAAATCTGCTTACAAATTGCACTTAATAACTGCAGTGATTCACTTAACAACTGTGAATCACA